GTTCGTGTGGTCAGAAGGGACCACAAAGGAAGCCACGAGTCTGTTTTTTGCAAGCAGAAGGTCCCAGATTCAGTCCCTGGGGTCTCCTCTCCATTCAAAACGATCTGATCGGAACAACCAGGGCTGGGAAAGACTTTTTCTGCTTAAACAGCTGTGGTCAGGGGTCTTACGCTAAGTCAATTTCATACACTCCGACTCAGTGGTAGAACCCACATTTTGCGTGCAGAAGGTCCCAGGTTTAATTAACAGTTGGAGAATCTCAAGGGACAGATGCTTGTGTGTTTGTTAAAATGTCTCTAAACTTTCTTAAAGACTCGAGGTGGTAATACGGACAAGTGCATTATCGCGCAACGGCAATGAAAATTCATTAAAAATGGTGTCCCGGATGAGAACTCCTCGGTATTTTATTCCCACTTAGTTAAATAGGGACGGGGTCGGAGTAGGAAATTACCCCAGGGCAAAATGTGCAGATTTCTGTATTGGTTTTCGTTACACTGGGTTGGTTTGTTTATTGCAGACTTTCAGTGGTAGGGTTGCCAGATCCAGGTTGGGAAGCTCCTGGAGATTTGGGGATGGAGCTGGGGGAGGCCAGGGACCTCACTTGGGCACGATGCCACAGAGTCCACCCTCCAGAGCTGCCACATTCTCCACGGGGAACTGATCTCTGTAGTCTGGAGATGAGCCATAGTTCCGGGAGATTCCCAGGTCCCACCTGGAGGCTGGCATCCCTATTAAGTGGCAGCTGGCTATACTCTGGGGACATGGTTTGCTACTGTACAGGTGACAATGCCCTCAGAGGGAGAAGTGCCGGAGCCGCTTTTCTGTCTGCATTCTGCCCCCAAAAGTACAAGCGGAGTAGGGAAATACAGCCCAAGGGTAACCAACAGAGGCTGCGGTCACACGGAGCATTAGCCACGCTACTGAGACGGATGATAGGTGGCTTTTCCGGGCGCGATCATACCGCAACATCTGGGAAGCGTAGAGCTCCCATGGCGAACCCGAGGCTTCCCGCCGAAGATGCGGAGTTAAAAACTAGTACCTCCGAGGTACTAGTTTCCGGAAACCGCGGGGCAAGGGCGGGCGTCTGATCCCATTTCCGGTGGCATCTGGTGCCCGCCCATGTCCCCTCGCAAAAAGGTTGGTTTTTTCCCAAGTCTCCACGGGATGTGCACACGCACCCAACGGCGCATGCGCACACTTCAGTTTAAAAACAAAAACACAACCTCGTTTGCCACGCCGCACCGCTTCGTCGCCGTTGCTGTGAGATCGGCACCTCCCCCCTAACCACGGGACCTCGATCTTGCAGCCGCGGGTTATTTTGCTCCGGGGCAAATAGCCACGCTTCCCCCCCCCCCCCCCCCCTTTTTTCGCCCCCGGGGGCCGGGCCCCCC